GTTGCTTCCCACATCCCACCCGGTGTCCCAGGTACTGTACTTCGGCCATGCCAAAATGACATTTTTCTGGCTTCAGAGTGAGCCCTGCGGCCCTAATCTGATCCAGTACGGCCCCTACCTGTCGGAGGTGTTCTCCCCAGGTCTCGCTGTAGATCGCAATGTCATCCAGGTACGCACATGCGAAATCCTGGAATCCATCAAGGAGCCTGTCGACCAAGCGCTGAAAGGTAGCGGGAGCGTTCTTCATCCCAAATGGCATGACTTTGAATTGGTACAAGCCAGACGGGGTGACGAAGGCCGACTTGGGGACAGCCTCCTTGGCTAGGGGAATCTGCCAGTATCCCTTGCACAAATCAATGGTGGTCAGATATCTTCCCCTAGCAATGCGATCTAGGAGCTCGTCTACGCGTGGCATGGGGTACGCATCTGTCACTGTCCTATCATTGAGACGTCTATAGTCGACGCAAAAGTCACATCACCGAATAGCTTGGATCTGAGCGCACACTTTGACGAAATATCACTCAGATCCCTTTGGTGGTTCGGGAACACCATTCAAATTAAGTTTTGACTTTGAGGTAATGCCCCAAAACAGTTCCAGAGAAAACAAGACAATGAACGGTCATCTTTCAGGGGTTCTCACTGATGAATCCATTCCCTGGCTGTTAGGGTAGAATGCTTTCCCTGTTTGGTAGTTTATGTCTCCCGAACGCCGTTCTCAGGAAGTTGCATAGGCAGCGGTACCTGTTTCCTGGGTGTTCACGAGGTTGCGTATGTAAAATTAGTTCCACGCCATCGACGACCATGTAACGCTGCCCTCGTTAGGGAGACAAAATATCTTCCAATAGTTTGAACACGTTGGTTCGATTATAAGAATGGCGGCGACACAGGGAAAGCACTTGAACTAATAACCAATTTGTTGTTAACAGCCAGGGGTGGTCGGTGATTATGAAGTGCGAACAAGGGACCACACAGCGAGGGGGCATACGGACAGGCGAACAAAGGGAATAAAAGTATGTTTGGGTTCTCCATTTCGCTAGAACGGCATCAATTTCCATCTGCGCACAAGGATCGAGCACAAAATGCATAAGGAAACTCACAACCCAACGCTTAGCTACCATGCACAGCTCCTTTTCTACCCTCTGCTGGAAACAATGTGTAGAAATTGGAAAAATTTTCCATTGCTGGTGCCTAAAAGGAACACTATGGGGTCAGGAACACAAACATTTATTTCTGACCCTGTGGTGTTAAAACCACCATTTAGGTGGCTTGCCCTCCCTTAGCCCCTTTAAAAGGTAAAAAAAATTACCTTATTTCCAGTGCCGTGCGGGTTCTTTGGCACGCACCCCGCCTCCATTCCGCCACTTTGCTGACATCATCAGCATTTATGATTTCAGCCAATCCAGTGCTTTACCATAAGGAAACCATTGGATTGGCTGAAATCGGCATGGAGGTGGGATGGGACAGGGCCATAGAGATGCAATGTATCAATGCATCTTTTTTGAGGAAAGTTCTGCGTGGAGAAGATGAAGGGCAATGAGGAGTGGCTACTGGAGGTATCCCTAGTGGGCAATGTAAACTCTGTTTTTCTCTGAAAAGCCAGTGTTTGTGTGAAAATGCCTCAAGGGACTGACTATACTCCCCAGAACAAGAACATTAAGCTGTAGTTACCCCTGATTTGTTTTTTGTAAGCCGCAAGTTCAGACCGCCATTTTGGTGCAGCCTTACGGTGTTTTGTCAGGCTAGGAGAATGGATGCTATGAAATACTGAATCACTTTGTAACCAGTTCTTTCCTTTGTGTTCTGTTTGCCCAATTCCCAGTTCTGTATTCCCATTGGTGTAAATGTTTGTGCAATGTTTTTTACTTTGTGCTGTAATCTACATATACTGGCTGTTTCTGCAAAAAACTTTCTTTTAGTTGCCAAGAAGAAGCTGATTTCCGTAAGGGCTCACTGGTATATTGCTTTCCATTTGACTCTATAGAGTACTTAATAATAAGAGTATTGCCAGAGGACTAGGTAGGATATGCTATAGTAACCAGATACCAGGGCAGTATATGCTGCATTGCCAGTTGATATGCTACCAAAGCTAAGACCTAGCATTTAGTGGAGCAGTTAGTGGTGCAGGTAGAGTAAAAAAAAAAAATAAAAAAACACAGACGATAAAGTGCTTGAACTGTTACACTTTCAGTGCCAGAGACTCCAGGGCCGTATTGTCACAGTTTAAAGGAACACTATAGGGTCAGGAACACACACATGTAATCCTGACCCTATAGTGCAAAACCCACCATTTAGGTGACTTGCCCCCCCTTAGTCCCCCTATAAAAGTTTAAAACTCACCTTATTTCCAGCTCCGCACGGAGGTGGTCCCCACAGAACTCAAAGTGAAAAGGGAATTTTTTATTTTATAAAAGGACATGCCTAACTCTGCTAATATCAATCATATTGCAAGGATAACAAGGCATTTGCCTTGGGCGGCAGAAAACGCTGCCCCCAAATGCTCCAGTCAGTTAATGCCTTGTTAGCCTCGTGTAATGGGGGGTCTAAGAGCTGGCAGAATGTGTGTCTGTCATAGAATGTGTGTGTGTCTATCCGTGAGTGAGTGAGTGAGTGAGTGAGAGAGTGTCTTTCAGTAAGTGTGTATGTCTGTCATTAAATGTGTGTGTGTCTGTTTGTGAATGTATAATGTACACACTAAAAAAGGGGGAACCTGCAGGGTTCTCCAGAAAGAGAGGGTTAATCCCTGAAGACATCAAATGAAATAAGAAAAGAAATACCCAGGCACACCTGAGTTTTCTTCTAATAGCCAGTCTTTTTTTTATTTGAAATAAGGTAGTTGAGACAATCTCTCTGAGCCTTTATCAAGTCTCAGCTTCTCTCTGAGCTTTTATCAAGTCACCTCACGTGTGCCTGGATATTTATTTTCTTATATGTATGTGTGTCTGTCAGTGTATGTCTTTCAGTGTGAGTCTGTCAGTGAATGTGTGTGTGTCTCTCAATGAAAGTGTGTGTCTCAGTGATTGTGTGTGTTTGTCAGAGTTTGTCAAATCAGTGAGGATGTGTGTGTCTATCAGTGTATGAATATCTGAGAGTGTGTACATGTCAGTGAGTGGGGGCTTCAGTGTGTTGAGCTAAAGTAAACCGAAAGTTGTTTTGGTCATTAGAGTATCCCTTTAATGTTAGCAGTGTGAGTGGTAGTGTGGCTAGGAGCAGGGTTGTTCTTAGAAATTGTAGGTGTTAGCAATTCATGGAATGAAAATGTAATTTCTATTTGTAAACATATGTATTCTAGTTTAAAGATACATTACTGGGAGTATTATTACTGTGGAGCTCTGTTATACACTCAGACACATTACTGGAAGTATTATTTCTGTGGGGCTCTGTTATACACTCAGACACATTACTGGGAGTATTATTGCTGTGGAGCTCTGTTATATACTCAGACACATTACTGGGAGTATTATTGCTGTGGAGCTCTGTTATACACTCAGACACATTACTGGGAGTATTATTGCTGTGGGGCTCTCTAATACACGCAGACACATTACTGGGAGTATTATTGCTGTGGAGCTCTGTTATGAGTATTATTGCAGTGGAGCTCTGTTATACACTCAGACACATTACTGGGAGTATTATTGCTGTGGAGCTCTGTTATACACTCAGACATTACTGGGAGTATTATTGCTGTGGAGCTCTGTTATACACTCAGACACATTACTGGGAGTATTATTGCTGTGGAGCTCTGTTATACACTCAGACACATTACTGGGAGTATTATTGCTGTGAGCTCTGTTATACACTCAGACACATTACTGGGAGTATTATTGCTGTGGAGCTCTGTTATACACTCAGACACATTACTGGGAGTATTATTGCTGTGGAGCTCTGTTATACACTCAGACACATTACTGGGAGTATTATTGCTGTGGAGCTCTGTTATACACTCAGACACATTACTGGGAGTATTATTGTGGAGCTCTGTTATACACTCAGACACATTACTGAGTATTATTGCTGTGGAGCTCTGTTATACACTCAGACACATTACTGGGAGTATTATTGCTGTGGAGCTCTGTTATACACTCAGACACATTACTGGGAGTATTATTGCTGTGGAGCTCTGTTATACACTCAGACACATTACTGGGAGTATTATTGCTGTGGAGCTCTGTTATACACTCAGACACATTACTGGGAGTATTATTGCTGTGGAGCTCTGTTATACACTCAGACACATTACTGGGAGTATTATTGCTGTGGAGCTCTGTTATACACTCAGACACATTACTGGGAGTATTATTGCTGTGGAGCTCTGTTATACACTCAGACACATTACTGGGAGTATTATTGCTGTGGAGCTCTGTTATACACTCAGACACATTACTGGGAGTATTATTGCTGTGGAGCTCTGTTATACACTCAGACACATTACTGGGAGTATTATTGCTGTGGAGCTCTGTTATACACTCAGACACATTACTGGGAGTATTATTGCTGTGGAGCTCTGTTATACACTCAGACACATTACTGGGAGTATTATTGCTGTGGAGCTCTGTTATACACTCAGACACATTACTGGGAGTATTATTGCTGTGGAGCTCTGTTATACACTCAGACACATTACTGGGAGTATTATTACTGTGGAGCTCTGTTATACACAGAAAAGATGACATTAGAATAGAAAAGAGGGATTTGGGCCTATAATAGGGACTGTCCCTCCTGAACCACTTGGTGGTTATGTACTCAGAAAGGAGAGTGGAGAAGTGGAGGGGAGCAGCAATAAGTTTGCTCTATGTCAGACATATAGTCCACAACTGCTATAACAATGGAAATTCAAACTCTCTGACTGGGCCAATGATTTATTGTTTATCAGTTTCAGGCCCCCTAAATCAAACAACAATTGAGTGGGGGGAAAAAAAAAAATTAAAAAAAAATAATCTTCCAATTGATTTAGGATACAGTCTTCCGGTCACTAGAGGTCGCTGTTGACATTCGTATCGCGCATTATAAAAGCTCTGCGCTAAGTTCACGTTCAATGCAGAACACGTGGGTGTTGCTATCTGTGTGCTGGGAATCACAGGCAGCCGTCCTGCTCCAGGTAAGGCTGAGTGCAGGTCCCATGTGACAGGTCCTATGGTACACAGGGTGGAAGTCACTATACCCCCAGATCTAGAATAAATATTATATATAATATCCAGTGGGTACAACTTGCAGAAATATATATATATATATATATAGGCATATCTTGTAATTTTATTAATTATAATAGTATATTTCTTGTAATATTAATAATATATACATTATTTTTGTAATATTAATTTTAGGGAGTCCCACCCAGCTCAGGTCAGTGCTTACACCTAATGTGTATATGTGTGAGGTTCCTGTTCTGTACACTTGGTTAAGCAGCACTCACTATGATTTTTGAGTTGTTTTAAGGGAACACGTGGTGTGTTTTGCTGCTCTGGGATCACACCAGGATGCAGCCAGTTAGGTTTATAGTTTATTGTATCTCAATAATCACTGCCTACTTTGTATGTGGGAGTTACATAGAATTCTCCAAAAAGCATTTCCTGAATTTATACTGCTGCAGAGTTCTGTGAGAGGCAGGCTACTTGTGAAGTTAAGTAGGTCCCTTTTTTATTTTTTGTGCTTTTAGAGCGGTTTATAAAATATGCAATTTACATAACTCACCTAATGCATGTATCCTTTTAATGCAGACCTGCCTTGGTTATTTTTTCATATCTCTTCTGTTAAATGGGAGAAATCACTATTTATTTCTGTTCTAGGTATTCTAACAAGGGCAACCTCCTTCATCTAAGGTAATTCTATTTTATATTTGTGATGATGCTCCTGTTTGCAGTTTTTAAGTGGCTGTTTTAATGTATTATGAGCCATAAATCCTTTCTGGCTCATTCTTGTATTTTAGGACTAAATTTTTTTTTAATTTTTTTTTTTTTTTTGTGTAAAAATGAATAAAACGTGGTTATGTTGAAATTGGCACATCACAATTTTCTGGCAGCCTGTATGTGTGAAGTCTAACTATAAAAGTCCTTTTTTACAGACTATCTGTATTAAATATGGGCGTTGGTAATTTTTATTTATTTTTGAGCCTTTGTATGCATTGCAGCTATTTCTCTAGAAGTTTAGTTAATGGTGTCTAGCAGGGGCATTTGGCTATTGGTACTAGTTATAATGCAATATATTTACTACTGTATCTGGACTTTAGGCTGTCTGAAGAATTCTGTTTGAGCGTGATGTACACCTCACTACTGTAGACTAATATATAGTATTGAGTGTCTGTTTTAATGTATAATGCACACACTAAAGAAGGGGGAATACTTCCTGCAGGGTGCTCCAGAAAGAGAGGGTTAATACCTGAAAACATCAAATGGAAGAAAATACCCAGGCACACATGAGGTTTCTCCTAATAGCCAGACTTCAGTTATTTATTTTTATAAAATTAAAGTGTGTGTGTGTGTGGACCATATTTAACCCCTTAAGGACACATGACATGTGTGAAGTTTGGTCCTTAAGGTTAAAAGAGAAACTACCACAAGAGGACATAGTCTTAAATTAGAGGGGCAAAGGTTTAAAAATACTTTTTTGTTTGCAAACTATATCTCAAATCTAATGTGCAGTTTTTAGCAGTAGACAAATCCTAAACAGGAACCAAGGAATTCACCAAAGCTACTTCAAAACTTTTGGACAAATGAACTTGCTAATGACCAATTTGCCATCTTGTAGCTACAGCATATGTTGCCTCTGTACAGTAGGTAAATGGCCCAAAATAAAAACGCAAGCAACTTGGGCACTCGTGGACATTCTACAAGTACCAAAAAGTGTAATTGAAAGGAGTTTAAATTAAACGGCTGCAACAAACTGTAAGAAGATGCCTATATCTGGTACACGATTACCAAAACTTAGTAGTGTGAATGTGTATTTAACCAACGAACGCTGAATGACTTAAAAAAATCAATCTTTTTTTTTTTTTAATATCTGGTGACGTAAAAGAAATACAAAATATATATTACGTGGTGCATTCCAAATGAAAGGGACAGTGTTTTTTTTAAAATTTTAGCATTTTCATGTATCCGATACAGAGACTTTAAAGGACCACTATAGGCACCCAGACAACTTCCACTCATTGAAGTGGTCTGGGTGCCAGGTCTCCCTAGTATTACTACAGCAGTCTGGTGGAGATGCATGGGAACAGTACTTTCCATGTATTGGGATGGATCAGTACTCTGAAAGGAAGGTACCACTCCCTATGTAGCTCAGCTGGAGGTCTGTGTGAGTACATTTGGGCAATGTTTAAAGTCTCAACTGAAGGAGATGAAGCCTGGGTTTGTCCTTGATACGGTGAATCCTATTATGACATTCAGATGAAAAACCGTTCAAGCAAGGTTATTCGCTAATCACCATATCGTCTGAAAGGACACAATCCGGTAAAATTAACTAAATTCTGACCGCATTGGCATATTTACAAAAGCCAAATGCAGCCAAGATTTGGTTTGTCCTACTGAATACATTAAAGTGTGTGTGGTTGGTTTTTTTTTTTTTTCATTCCTAATAAAATTGCAGCACTGGAATTGTAAATTTATCAGCTGGTTTGAAAATTTGTTTTTATTTTTTCTTGGGAGGAGGTGACTTACTATGCTACTGAAAATAGCCTCTGCCTCCAGATGGCAGTCAGGGGGGCACGTGGAGGTTTACAACTTCCATAGGATTTTTATATCTTTTTCTAATTTTTTTTTTTTAATTTTGCACCTGGCTAGCAAGCACTGGTCAGCTGCCACATAACGGTCATACTGGAAAATATATTCTTGTAATTTTTTTTTTTTCTTTCTGGTTTTGTCTGTTAGTGCTGCCAGCGAGCAAATTGTATGTGACTTGACTCATTTGGTCCTGATTTTAACAGTCTAGCAGAGTTTGGTGTGGCTGAAAGGCAGACTCAACTCGGGTTAATTGGAGAGCTTGGCTATCAAAATCGGGCAAACTGAAGAATTCAATGTCATTGTCTGTTAAAACAAGCTGTTCTAACTTTTCAGTATCACGTAACCCATGTAACATTCTACTTTTTTAATTTATTTTTTTATTTTTTTTGTGCTTCACGAACATCGATCTTGGTGTAATTTGCCGTCCGCTGCCTGATTAGTCACTAATTTATTACAGCAATGGGTGAGAATGTCCTGGTAATTGGCAGTGGTGCCCGGGAGCATGCTCTAGCATGGAAGTTGGCACAGTCCACTCGCGTGAAACAAGTGCTTGTTGCCCCAGGAAACGCAGGCACAGCTAACAGTGGAAAGATCTCAAATACAGGTTAGTGGTAACCAGTATATAGGTATGTTTAGCCTGTGTATAGGCATTTTTAAGATCACTCCATGTTGAAACTTTCCCCCACCCAATTATAGATGTACAGGAAAAGAAAACTGTAAACAAAGAACTGTCCCCTACCCATGGTCTTTTAATGGCAGAAATGAATTCTTTGTTTAAATGAAGTTTGTGAAAAACATTAGAAAAAGTGCCTCTACCTCTAGTAGGACCGGATCTTTCAGCCATATACATACACCTTGAATCAGACCATAGAGGTTTTCACGGTCTGATCCAAGGTGCAAGTATATGGATGAAGGAACCTGTCTTACTAAAGGTGTGATGGACCGCCGTCACGAAGTACCATGCCCACTGCTTACCTATGTGTGGGTTTTTTTTTTTTTTTCTCCATATATTTGTTATAGTTCTTGTATTTTGCCTGCTCCACGTTCGGGAGTTCATACGAATGGAATCAGTTTGTCTTCTGAGCGGGCACCACCCCGAGTTCCCATTTAGAACATTCTAAAACCGCAAGGGAAATCCATTAACGAATGCTCCCCTGGTTGGCTGCCGGTTCGTATATCCGAATGCCAACCAGGGGAGGCGTTTGTATCCCGAACTGACCTACCCGCAAAGTCTCAGGTCCCCTTGTAGGGGATTGCCCCACCTGCTCATAACGAAGCCAGTGTCACTACCCAGAAGCTGCATGGCCAGGCTCGTAGCTGCCTAAGGGCGCTCTCTCTGGGGCTGCTTAAGTGGAGGTAGCCCCGGAGAGAGAATCCCTGGAGATGTGAGTCTGCTTCACGGACACAGGGGTCTCGCTGGCCACCTGGAAGTCTGTGCCAACCAATAGTAAGAGCGCCCATTCAAAATGGGTTAGCGCCATTCTCCTGATTGCGGCAAAGCGCAGGCGACTAGAGGGAACGCCCTTTCAAACAGGCATTTGCGCACTTTCTCCTGATTGGGCAGCGAAACCCCTTTATTCCTCCCTGAGCGCTGTTTGGCTCAAATTGGTTTCAGCTGATGATTGGTTGGTGCTTGGTTTAGGCACGAAGTTTGAATTTGCTGGACTAAACCAAGCAACCCCCTGGAACTACTTTTTGGGATGTACAGAGCCTTGAGCCCAGACTTTGTTCGAGGGTTCTTGGGCTCTGTACATCCTGCAGGGATCCTAGTTGGGGACCCGGGGCTATCCAGTGATCTGTTTTATGTGTGAATCCTACCTAGGGTTCGCAGCTCTTAAGTCCCACCCGTGTGTGAAATGTTTTAATGTGGTGAACTTTGTGCTGTTTATCTCCCAGGGTGGGAGATGGCTATCTGTAACCCAGCCTTCTCCTGCCTGGCACTAAGGGAAGTGTATTGAACTGAATGGAGACCTCCTGCGTTGGGCTGTGTTTCAATAGATTGTCAGTTGTACCTCCAGAAGTGGGTGGGGGTGAGAAAGGGTTAATCCCTGGGCCAGCTGGTGGAAGATGCAGTGGGAAAAGTCCTTGTAAGGACTGAAAGCTAGTTCCCCTATTCCAGCTAGAAAGCAGTTCCTTTGTCGGAGGTACCCAGCTGGGGTACAGGGAAACTCCTTCACAAAAGGTATACTTTAACACTCTTACTTTAAATGATTAAACTGTTAATTCTTGGGTTAAACTGTTTGTAGTGTAGATGGTACAAGTCTCTGCTGCCATGCGGAGCCCTCGGACTGGTTGCTAGTGATTTACTTTAGGTTTACCCTCTCACTAGTTTGCAAAAGATACTTTTAGGGTATGGTTGGTCCATCGGTTACCCAAGCACCTATGGTCCATGCCTTTTTTACTTGACAAAATTTTGTTGTGGAGTTCCCCACTCCAGCTGCAGTTCAGATCCTCGGGAAGAAACTGGAGTGTTAAAACCTGGCTAGGGAAACTCCATAGTGAGCAGGACAAATGGTTGTAACCGTAGGATTCCTTCCTACTCTATGTTCAATGTAATGAAGGCCCCTTAATATTGTATGTTGTAAATCACATGTTAACACATTAAAAATTCACGTGTCACAGTTCAGCAAAGCTTGAAGCCTCTTGTTTGAATGAGACCCACGCCCGGTTTACATGTATAGCAGGACTTTTCATGTGTTAAAACAAAAAAAAATACTTTATTTGTCCCTCCTAGAAAAGACAGACCTTGATTCATTGCTCAATTATTGACTTCAAATTACTCCGTGTATGTATGTATTAATCAAATGCTTTATTTATAGTTATTTTAATCGTTACACTGACTTCTGGTGTGTGGAGGTTATTTTTTTTTTTTTATTCCGTCCTCTCTACTCTTTAGCGGCTCCCACCAGCGATCACGCACAGCTCACTGAATTCTGCAAGACCAATGGCATTAACATTGTTGTGGTTGGTCCTGAGGCTCCCCTTGCTGCAGGTATATTGTATGTATACAATCACTTTCTGAATAACCCCAGGATCTGCATCTGAACTGGTCCATATTTACCCATTAATGTAACTTTGACAGCGGTACATGGCTCTATGTGACTGTTATGGTTACGTAGGCACAATAGACACCGGTATGGGGTTTCATGAAAGAGTCTATAGGAAAGCTCTATTAACTTGTGGAATATGAATATGCTCTACTGGAACCTTAAATCAAAAAGGTACAACTAGGGGCCAAATAACTGCCGAATAGGCTCCAAGTAGGGGTAACCCACAGCAATTCAGTTAGATTACAGAAAAGGCAAATAGGCTCAAAAAGGCATGAGTCCAAAAATGGAGATCCCTCCAATAGAGAATATAATGGTAGAACAACTTTATTAGAACATGCAATAATTAGAGTAAGAGACAAAACATATGCACATTAAAAAGCAATGAGGTTGTGGTGCATGATGGGGGTTAAGCAATGTGCCTTTAGATTTAAAGGGACACTCCAGGCACCAGACCACTTCTGCCCGTTGGAGTGATCTGCGTGCAAACTCCCATCACACTTAAACCTGCAAGGTAATTATTGTAGTTTATAAAAACTGCAAGAATTACCTTGCAGGGTTACAACCTCCTCTAGTGGTTGTCTGATAGACAACTAATAGAGGGACTTCCGGTTTCTTAAAACACAAAGTGTTTTTAAATGACACTGGACGTCCTCACACTATGCATGAGGACCTCCAGCGTTACCGGAATCCCCATAGGAAAGCATTGAATAGTCGGTTGCTGATGGGGATAACTCACTGGTAAACCTTAAGGGAGGTTGGAGGGTCATTAATAATCACCATTGGGACCTGGCTTCTAATATTTCTGTGGTTATACATTGTACACAGGTGGGTTGTTGCCAGATACTGCTCTTCTGGTTATCTATATAACCAGGAGATCTATTATAAATTTGTGTGTGTCTCCTTACAAGTTCTTGTATGTACTAGTATATGTAAAATCTTTGGTTTCTAAAATAGCAAATGGTTTTCAGGAGTGGCTCTGGTCCTAGAGTCTCCAGCCATTTGTGTGGGTTTGTGTTTTTTTTTGTTTTTTTTTAATTCTGCCCAGTGCCATTCTTATTCCAGGTATTGTTGATGATCTGACGGCAGCTGGGGTGAGATGCTTTGGACCCACTGCCAAGGCTGCCCAACTTGAATCCAGTAAGAGTTTTTCCAAAGACTTTATGGACCGACATGGTATCCCTACAGCTCGGTGGAAATCCTTCACTAGTGCGCCAGAGGCCTGCAGCTTTATCACAAAGTAATGCACCACATCATATTCTATCAATGCATGGGTCTACTTCCTTGGCTGTATTGCTCATGTATCATACTGGGAATTGTAGTTCACTACCATGGCTTTAAACACATGTAACCTTCCTGTTGTATTTTCTTTTAACATCAATTTTCCCACTTAAATTTTAGAACAGGCTTAGAGTTTTCACTCTGACTAGCTGGAATGGTGAATTTTTCCAAACTTTTTTTTTTTTTTTTTTTTTGCTCCTACATTCTGGACTCTTGCCGAATATACCGTTTATGGAATAACTGTCAAACACCACTTATAAACTTCCCCAAAAAGCTTACTGGCAACATTCTAAATGTTGAGTAATTCATTAAAATTCCGTAGGTTTCATGGGGACTGCCCCGTGTCCAGCACTTTACACGTTACCTCTCGTGAATTAGGTTTTTTTTTTTTGTTTTGTTTTTATATATATATATTTTGCTTTAATGACTCCTACTATTGTAGAAACAATGGTTGTGCTCACTGTCTGAATTTTCTCCATCTGTGCTGTATTGTAGTGCGGATTTTCCAGCGTTGGTTGTAAAGGCGAGTGGCCTGGCGGCTGGTAAAGGAGTGATTGTAGCCTCTACAAAGGAGGAAGCTTGCAAAGCTGTTAATGAAATCTTGACGGTGAGCTGTGGAGGGGAAAGACTGGATGATTGTGGCGGCAGTACTCTTTTTGCATAACAGTTATTGAAGAGTCAATATGTAATTTACATCTTGTGATCAATTCTCTGACTCGTCTTCACAATTAGAAACGACTGGAGTGGCCATGTTTAGTGAGTTATCTTATAATGTAATATTGCTGTACTATGAAGGCAGTTTGTAGTATCTGTTTTGAGATCATCTCTTCTTCCTAATAGGATAAAGTGTTTGGAGAAGCTGGAGATACAGTTGTGGTGGAGGAGCTGCTGGAGGGGGAGGAAGTTTCTGTGAGTGTCTGGTCTCTGCTTAACTTTATAAGTCACCGTTCCCCCCACCCCCATTTATAATACATTCTCCTGCTTTTTAAATAAAATCCCTATTTATTGATTTTGTTGCAGTGCTTGTGTTTCACTGATGGGATCCATGTTGCCCCGATGCCGCCGGCACAAGACCATAAAAGGCTAATGGATGGTGACAAAGGACCCAATACAGGAGGGATGGGAGCGTACTGTCCGGCGCCCCAGGTCTGTAACTGAACATTCCGTTGTGACATTGTAGGAAGTTCTAGAGGGGTGTGTGGGGCTTACTGCTGTGTCTTTCCACTTACTGTGTTCTACTCTGGGACGAATGTGAGTGACTGTAACTGTGGAAAGTCATGCAAGCTGTGTGCCCTCCTAGTTTAGAATGCAATGTTGTAATTGTACAATGCAGGTCTATATGCATATCGGTTTAACCTGGATAATGCCAAATACCTTAAAGGGAACCTACTTTACTAACATTCCCCACTTCTCCCTCCCCCCCCCACAATATTAACATAACGTGTGACATTTAAAGACCGCTCATCGGCTGCTAGTTGTCACATTGTCCACAAACCATTTTGGAAGATGTGTGAAGCAGTGTTTTTCTGAGATCTTTTCATGCTCTTAGGTGTAATGCATTGTGGCCAGTACTTATCATTCTAATCGTTGAATCTGATCTGGTTAACTAGTACAATACATGATCCCAATCAAAAAGTGAAAGCAATAATAATCACACATGACTGACAATGAAAATGTCTCTCTCTCCTCCTCCCTCAATTCTAATACTGACCTGTATTCACAGACTGTGCTGATGGCAAACTGAGCATTAATGTACAGGGCTACTGAATTTGCTGGTGCTATATAATAATGTAAAAGGCAATTGCAGCCCCTCATTCTGGCTGCTGAACATGACTTGTTCCATTAACAAAGCTTTGCAGGATCTGGTAGACTGCAGGCACAGCTAAAACTTCCTGTGTCCCCGCCACATTAAGTGCACTTATTGAAGTGGGTGGGAACATGTTCTTTCAGTTATAGTAATGTGGGCAGAGATAAAGCAGTTTAAAGGGATACTTCAAGCACCAAAACCACTTTAGCTTAAAAGACCACTCCAAACACCTAAAGGACTCTAGCTTGACTTGAAGATTTTTGTCTCAAGTTTTGGTGCTTCCTTTCCATTGAGGTTAAACTGTTTATGAACAGCTGACCGAAGTCAATCAGTAGCTCCCTGTTCCCAAAAGTTGTGTAAGCCAATCAGCTGTAGTCCTGCCTGACAGCAGTTTGTGGCTTCATTAAGCTGACTTCCATTTGGACTGTAATGGAGGTGGAGAGACCATTTGTGAGTGGTTTAACGCTTAATGATAAGGAAGCACCAGGAACCTCCTGGCACCATGACTTGATTTTCATTGACGTTGTGGTGGTTCCCAAACTGTTCCGCTAAGGGGTATTGCGAGCTGTGTACAGAGAGGCTATATTGACTCTACTTGATATGAAGCTACCTGACCTCTCTCTCCTAGTAACAACTGTCGTTTAAAAAGTGTAAGTGAAATAAAAACCCCACACCAATTTTTTTTTTTTTTTTCTTCCCAGGTTTCTAAAGATTTATTGGCGAATATCCTGGAGAATGTTTTGTATAAAACGGTTAACGGAATAAGAGCAGACGGTTTCAAATACACTGGTGAGTCTAGCTCTGACTGTAAGCAGTTTATAGACTCGTTTTTGCATTCCCGAGAAGCAACGTTTTGCGATATCCCAGCCATATATTGATGGTCTGATAACGCTGACTCTCTACATATTCACCCCACAGGTGTGCTGTACGCGGGGCTTATGCTCACAAAGGATGGACCAAAAGTGCTTGAATTCAACTGTAGATTCGGGGACCCAGAGTGTCAGGTATAACCTCTCAATCCTTTTATTGTCCCCTTCACCCTGGCTCAATACAGCCTAGTTAGTGACCATCGACCTAGCTCTGTTAAACCATTTTAATGGTTTGTTTTAGTTTTGAGGCTCTATATTGTGATTACACCATGCTCTGACTTTATTCTTTAATGTGTCTATGCAGGTCCGATTCTTTAAAGGGTCATATGTCTTGTTTTCACCTATCGATCTCTGTTCCTCTTCAAATTCTTCTGGCACAAATCTCTGCATCTAGTTTCCTATTGCTCTTTCTAAGCCGGATATCTGCTATGTTAATCTGTGTCAAGTGACTGTCCTGTGTCTGTTCCTTTTCCTCGTCTTTAATAAAATGAGCCTTTGTGCGTCCCTACATCATGTTAACCTTGTTAAACATGGAAATTAGGATTGCCTAATTGATGATGCATGCACCTCTTGTGAAGCATTTCCTAATCTGATTTAAGGAAAGGAGGAGGGGAAAAGGTTCATAGAGAACCTTGTGAAATTACTGGGAACCTCAAAGTGCAATCAAATGTCAAGGGAATGGTCTTTAGCAGGTTATTCACTAAAATTAGAAATTAAGGTAAATTTCACATCTAACTTCAAAAGCGCTGAGCTGGAAAAGTTCTCTCTGTAAAGCTATGCTTTCCATTCAGCTTCTCTGGCCTTAATGTTTGAAATGCACCCTGAATTCTAACTTTAGCTAAGCTGCCTTGGGAATGGTCCCGATACAACTCAAAAGCATGTGAGTGCTGTCACACGCCAGGGCATCATACTTTTGTGTGTTTTTTTTTTTTTTTTTTTCTCCTCGGTTTACAAATTGTAAAACTTCTACACATTGCTTAATCATGTGGTTTTATTACTTTATGACTTATCACTGTAAACTTGAGGCCTGCATGTTTTCTCTTCGTATTCCATTCTATCTTTGGAAAAAAGTGAAAAATCAATAAAATAGAATTCTCACTTGAGAGAATTACCCTGTTGGAGTTGCTATGCATAGTGCATAATATTACTAATCTGTTTATTGCACAAACGTTTCCAATTAATACACAAGTCCATTGAAATTGCCTGATGGCTAATAAAATAGTCTAGTAATAGCTGTTTTTCAAGGGGTGGGCTGTATTGGGCAGCAAGTGAACAGTCCTTGAATGTCATGTATTGTAAGCCAGAAAAATGGGCAAGCAAAACTATCTAGATGACTTTGACAAGGGCCAAATAGTGATGGCTAGTCTAATTTGTCGGAGCATCTCCAAAACGGCAAGTTTTGGATGGTGTTCAAGGAATGCATTTTTTGCCTAACTAATTGGTGCAAGGAAGGACAACTGGTGAATGGTGTCGGGGTCACGGCTACCCAATGTTCATTGATGCATGTGAGGAGCAAAAGCGAACTCGTCTGGTCCAAACACACAGAGCTACTGTAGATCAAATTACTGACTCTTTTCCAACGCCTACGATGGAAATGTGTCAGAGCACACCGTGCATAATTTTGCTACATAACCACAAACCAGTCAGTGTGCCATTGACCCCTGTCCACCACCGAAAGCAAGAATTTCTCAGGGATAGTTTGAGGAATATGACCTAGTTCAGGGTGTTGACTTTGCCTTCATATCCCACAGGTATCGAGCACCTGTGGGATGTGCTGGAAAAACACCTCTGATCCATGGAGGCCCCACCTCAACTTGCAGGACTTAAAGGATCTGCTGCTAATGTCTTGGGGGCAGATACCACAAGACACGTTCAAAGCTCTTGTGGAGTCCATGCTTCAATGCATCAGAGCTGTCTTGGCAGAACAAGGGGGACATAAATGATATTCGACAGATGGTTTTAATGGTGTGACTGACTGTGAATATTTTTATTCCAACTAGTCTTCAATTTATATGCAGTATAATGCATTCTGTGTAACAGTTCTGATATGCCTTTTTCATTAACGAGTTATTTTGTTTTAAAGGTAATTCTTCCCCTACTTAAGAGTGATCTATATGACTTGATCCAGGCAATCCTTGATGGTGAACTGGTTAACACAATGCCGGTTTGGCTAGAAGACCATGCTGCTGTTACTGTAGTTATGGCCAGTGGTGGCTACCCTGGCAACTATGCCAAAGGCTTGGAGATAACTGGTATGTTAAGACTCTTGACCTCTTATTAGGGAAGCTTATGGTCTTGGTTTTGTAATATTTTTGTATACTTTAATGTTTTGAAGAGGAGGGAAAGACTTAGCTGCTTGTCCAGAATATATTGACATTACTTGTGACAAACTCTGATCTTGTAATCCTGTATCTGCTGCACATATTCTTAACGTTCTGTATTGTCTTGCAGACTTGTAAGGGGCTGTCTCTCATTGACCACTAGAAACAAAGCATGAAAACAGTTTTTATTTAAGTTGTCATTCTCACCAGGCTGAATGTATAACCTGTTTCCTCCAGGATTTGAGAAGACAAAACACCTTTGTTTGGAAGTGTTTCATGCAGGCACTGCTTTGAAGGATGGGAAGGTGGTGACCAATGGAGGCAGAGTTCTTACTGTAACTTCTATAAAGAGAGGTCTTCTCGCTGCACTATTGGAGGCCAACCAAGGTGTGTCTGCCTTGCATTTCGAAGGCGCTGTGTATCGTAAAGACATTGGTTTCCGTGCAATATCCTATCTCCAGAAAACCAGGTGTGTATGAGAAGGCGGTCTTATTGGGATCCTTATTATTTGAGACAACTTTATTTTATTTATTTTCCTTTGAATTTTAAGCCTCTCTGTTCTAACTTCCTGGTGTTTCTGATTTGGATAATACATTCTCATATTGAACCACTATCACTTGTTACTGCGCAACATACTTTTTCCTTTCATTTCTGTATCCCACTCAAATAAGTCCCTTTATCCCATCAGAACAAATTGCTGTAAAATGTGTGGTCAACTTTGTTTCCTTCCAAGAAAAGTTGCACATGCCAACATGGTTTTTGATGGACTGCTTTGAATTTGGTCTCAGTTGAAGTGTGTCTCTTCCTCCCTCCCCTTCCTCAAATCTCCAACTTGTGTATTTTTAAAGGCCTTGTAATCTTTATCTTGGAGTGTGATGCTGTGTTCAATTGACATGTGATCAAACTGTACATTTGGCTAACGAGCAGAACTTTGTATGAAGCCCTAGTTTGGGGGTTTTTTTTTTTTTAAATAAATGAGAGCTCTTCCCTACCTATATGACTGGATCTTTCAGCCATTTACATACACCTTGGGTTAGACTGTGGCAGAGAAGACCAGACTATTCAAACACTGTCTGACCCAAGGTGCTGAATGACACTGGGTCTGACTTGATCTGTTCCAAGGTAAGAAAGTATGACATGAAATTATCAGGATTTATTTTTTGGGAAAAGTTGTGACTTTACTTTCTGCCACACTGCAGGTCTCTAACATACAAAGACAGCGGCGTTGACATTGCGGCTGGGAACACCCTTGTGCAGAGAATTAAACCACTTGCTACTGCCACAGCCAGAACTGGTAGTTATTCTCTTGAGTTTGTTACATACATTGCAGAGTCCAACTCTCCTAGATTAGATTCTAATTTGTATCCCTGTTAGAACGTAAATGATTTTTTTACTGTTCGCAGTATCTATATTTATTTTTCTTAAAAGCAAACTTTCTCCTTCAGCAATAACTATGTGAATTTTGCGCCTCCCAATATGTGGGCTGTAGTGGTTATGGTGCTGAGATTATTATTGCCACTTACATAGTGCCAACAGATTCTGTAGTGCTTTACAATATTATGGGGGGTGGGGGGGGATTTAACTATAAATGGGACAATTACAAGAAAACGTACAAGAACAATAGGTTGTAGAGGTTAGTTTGGGAGGCCATAAGCTTTCCTAAAGAGATGGGTTTTAAGGCACTTCGTAAACCGTTGAAGACTAGTGGAAAGTCTGATGGCGGTAGGCAGGCTATTCCATAGGAAGGGAGCCGTGCAAGTTGGCCGTACGGGTGCAAGCAGCGGACAGAAGGGGCACACCTATGGATCTGTGAGGAGATATGAGGAGCCAAGACTATTCAGTCACTTTGCATTGACTCCTATAGGATACAGGAAGCCTATATAAGGACTGACAGAGGGGTGAGGTGTGAGAGGACTTGGTAGAGGAAAATCAGTCTGGCGGCAGCGATGGGTTTTTAAGGTGGAATTGGCATGATTTGACAACATACTGGATGTGAGGCCAGAATTAAAAGTAACACCAAGACAATGTGCTTGTAAGGATGGGTTGATATGGGTACAACCAATCTGAAGGGAAAGCGAGAGGAGGAAAGACCAGTTCTGTTTTGGAAAGATTCAGTTTTAGAAAGTGAGGACATCCAGTCAGATAGAAGAAAGGCAAGAGGTGACGTGTTGCAGAACATCGGAGGAGAGATATATCTGGGTGTCATCAGTGTACAGGTGGGAGTGGAATCCAAATGAGGTAATAAGTTTGCCAAGAGAGGCAATATAAAGAGAAAATAGAAGGGTACTAAGGACAGAGCCTTGAGGGACTCCAACCGAGACAGGACGAATGGGAGTCTCATTAGAAAAGCAGACACTGAGTGTTGGAGATAGCACCTTGAGAGGACAGTTAGAGACCAAGTGATTGGAGAAGGTGAACGTGATAAACTGTGTTAAAGGCAGCAGAGAGGTCAAGAAGAATTAGTATGGAGTAGTGACCTTTGGATTTAGTTGTGATCATGTCGTTAGTGACTTTGATAAGGGTAGTCTCAGAGTGGAGGGGGCGGAAGCCTGACTGAAGAGGGTCAAGGAGAGTTGGAGTTGAGGAAGCGGGCCAGACTGGTGAAGACTAGTCTTTCAAGAAGCTTTGAGGAAAAAGGGAGCAGGAATATAGGACGAGAGATCTGATAAGGAGAGACTGGACATGGTTAAGTGGTGGGGCGAGAGGAAAGGCTAAGCACAGCCACCTCTTGTTCAGTAGCCTGGGAGAAGGTTGGAGAGGCATGATCTAGGTGAGGGTGAGAAAGTGGAAAAAATGGCAAGGTGGTGAGAATTCTTTCCTTAGCTGTTCAATCTTGTCAGTAAAGTAGCATGCAAAACTATTGGCTGTAAGGTTAGTTTGGAGGGGGGGTGGCTGCAGCAGGGCAAAATAAGAGTTAAAGGTATCAAAGAGGCGCCTGGGATTGCATGAGCAAATAAGAGAAGAAAAGTATGACTGTTTGGCAAGTGCTGTGCTGTATGAACGCAATATGAATTTGTAGTGTAGAAAGTCTGACTCGGTGTGAGACTTTCTCCAGCAGCATTCAGCAGAACGGGAACATCTCTGCAGGTAGCATGTTGATTTAGTGTGCCATGGTTGGGGGTGTATTTGCATTTGGAGAAGGGCTGAGGTGAGGGTAGAGTTATAGGAGGAGATGGCCAGTGAGGGGCATGAGTAAGCAGGAATGGATTGTCCCAATAATTGCTAGTATAGTACTTTTGAAAACCGCACGAATAAACCTGGTAATCCGAGACTTTTTTTAAATCGTGTGTGACTTGTTCAATTCTTACAGGCTGTAATCCAGAGCTTGGCGGTTTCGCTGGCCTTTTTGACCTGAAAGCTGCTGGCTTTATAGATCCCCTCCTTGTATCTGGGACAGACGGTGTTGGAACCAAACTGAAGGTATCGGAGGTTTTGAAAAGTAGACTCTGCATGGTTTAGAAAAACTTTGTAGAAGTAACAATACTTCAAATATCCACGTTATCAAAATTTAGTGGCTGGCACAAACATAACTGTAATGCATGTGATTAGCCTTAGACTCATCAACATGATTTTATTCCTTTCCCCCCTCTCTGGCCAAAGTTAGCATTCAGTTTAGTTTGAATTTTTCTCAAACAAATATGAACGCTAATTTTGGCCAGTATTTCTAAGTGGCTGCTAAAGACTGGACATACCCCGTTTGCAATACCTTGGGTTGTCTAATTTTGCAAATGGTATGCCATCATAGGGGTAATTCTCATTTTATTGCAGTATTATGACATTCACAGTTAAAATGTCATGCAGAACTAAACCATTTCCTAATTTCTCACTTTATTTTATTCATACTAAATTTGTTTCATGGCTTAATATTTGATGTTAAATGAAAGCCCTATTTCTCCTGGGTAAAATGAAATATATATATTTTCCCATAATGTGAAAGAGGTGAATTACGCCTGAACAGACATAAAGTCAAATTCCAAGTTTTGTTTACGTTTTTATTTTGATCAAAACGTGTACATTTGGCTCAGTCCTTAAGGGGTTAAAAAGAACAAGCAAACAGCAGGGCATGCAAGTATACAGCAGCATGAATGTATATAAATTGATCCAATAAAGGTGAATCGAGAATATTGACAAAACTGACATTAAGATGTGTTTTATATAATGTTTTGGTAGTGTGAGACAGCCAGTCTACGTTAAGTCCTTCATTTCTGGTGTTGAAACGTGTGATATCGTTCATAAGTCTGAAATTCCCTTTAAGAACTTTAATTCTGAGGGTTTGGGTGAAGTGATGCTCAACAGGGGTTCTTAATTGTGTGTCTGTGTAGATTCATTCTGAGATGCAGCTTAAGGCCAGTTTCTCCAATGTAGCAACCTTTGTCTCACACACACTATCATGTGCACAAATATGATCCCTTAATGTTTGCTTTATTGTGTCTGGCTGTGTAGTAATTATAGGATACTCCTCACCCATAAAGTGCTTCTGTAAGTGCTGTATGGGTGTGAAGTGGTCACTTATAAACTGCACTAACCTTGCCTAACCCTAAAAAAACACGAATATTAGCAGGTGGGTTTCCTAGTCATGCCAGTGGTATGTTGCTGCCATCTACTGGTTGTTTTCAGTATTACAGAAACCTTTAGTTTTTAATAATGAACCAAGCATGCTTTACCAGACTATTACACTGACTGGTGCTGGGCTTTGGCAGCTGCCCTGAACCAATCACAATCTGCTTAGACATGCAGGGAAGCCTTGTCTGAATCTGTTCACACCCTGGCAGTCTCCTGAAATGATCCTATACGGTTAAGAATACAGAAATCTGCTTTGGTAAAGGTTAAATACCCTTTTATTTACTTGCAAATTACCAGTGCCTGAAGGCAGGGACATTGCTCTGCCTCCTTTGTCATTCAATGGGGGAGGGGTGGGGGGGGTAGGAATCTAATACACAGGCTTGGCGAGCACGTTCTTTCCTACCATAGTAAAGCATTGAACGAGTGCTTTCCTATGGAGACTTTTGACACTGGATGTCTTCTTGCAGAGCATTAGTGTGCTTGTACAGTCCTCCAGAACATGCCCACATACACGTCCTATCTGTACTTTAAATGTCATGCAGGCACATAACACAAACACTCTTTATTTCTAGGTTGCCCAATCATGTAATAAACATGATACCATCGGCCAGGACTTAGTAGCAATGTGCGTCAATGACATCTTGGCACAGGGTGCAGAGCCACTGTTTTTCCTGGATTATTTTGCGTGTGGGAAACTTGACGTGGGAGTGGCAGAATCTGTGGTGTCTGGAATTGCCAAAGCCTGTAAAATGGCTGGCTGTGCTCTTCTGGGTAATATGTGCTTTTTATATAGGTATCGTTATAACCATTGGTGTAGAATGTTTAGTTTCATTCCCAACACTATACTTTTCTCCCCTCCCCATCCACGTCCCAATCGCTTGGTTAAGCTGTGTGGTTGTCTTGGTGTGTGGGTTTTATTTATTTTTATGATTTACTAATGTATTTTTGATGCCTGGTTAATACATTCTAACAGGAGGTGAGACTGCCGAGATGCCTGGCATGTATGCCAAAGACGAGTATGATCTGGCAGGCTTTGCTGTGGGTGCCGTGGAGAGGGTGTTTGTGCTGCCACGGATGGAAAGGATACGAGAGAGAGACGTGGTTATTGGAATCGCTTCTTCAGGACTTCACAGTAATGGTTTCAGTCTTGTGAGGAAGATTCTCGACAAGTTATCCCTAAATTTCTCTTCTCCAGCTCCTCCATGCTGTGGGAAGCAGACCTTTGGTGAGCGTACAAGTGCATAACTTGAGTTTGTTTGCTGCTCTCTTTAGTGTTTAGCTTTGTACTGTGAGATCTACAAGAGGCAGAGTATCAAATCAGAAAGAAAGGCTTAAATAACCAGTTTGGGGCTCAAACTGTAGCTCTTAGTGAATGACTTAAACCACTGAGGGTTTTTAAAACCACGTTAAATGAAAAGCATGTAAAACTGTGTCAAACTGAAAGGATAACCCATTTTGTTTTGACAGGAGAGCTTTTGTTGACACCGACCAAAATCTATGCCCAGAGCCTGCTTCCTATCCTCCGATCGGGGGAAATTAAGGCCTACGCTCACATCACCGGAGGTGGACTGGTGGAGAACATCCCAAGGGTTCTACCTCCATCCTTGGGAGTCATTTTGAGTAAGAAACATTTCTGTGTTAACTCTAAATTATGGGGACTATGGCTCTTGGCACAAAACAGATTGTAAAATGAAACTGTTTTGTGGGATAATACAATGAGTACTAATCGCACAGGTACCCAACCTTAGGGTTCCTTTTTGGAAGCCATAATGCTTAGGGATGCTTTATAATTTAATTTATTTTTTGTGTGAATTGTTTCTTCCAGATGCTCTGTGCTGGAAAATACCGCCCATATTCTCCTGGCTTCAGAAACATGGAAATCTTACAATGGAGGAGATGGTCCGTACTTTTAACTGTGGGATTGGCGCCATATTGATCTTGGAAAACGACATCTGTGACATGGTACTTGACGAGGTGTATAAAAGCGAGGAAGCCTGGCTTATTGGAACAGTGACCACGCGTGACAAAGGTCTGATGGCACAAATTGTATCTTTGATCTGTGTTGTGAATGGTTAATATAATGGAAGCTACACTTTTATTTTTTTTTTTAAACCTTCTTTACGTGTGAACTGTCCTGTGTTTCAATCTGGAGCCATACTGTGTCACTCAGGACAGACCCTTGAGTCTGAGATGCCAAAAAATATTTGTGGGTTATTGGTGTGGGCTATGCAGTAATGAGGGGTTATTCACTAAAACTAGCTACTGTGGAGCATACACTGCTCACTTAGATTTAGACTGATGGATGAACTAGGGAAGATGTTGAGAGCGGGAATAAAAATTCAGTTTTGACTATTGCATTGCCTGTAAATATGCTGTGAGTATGTCTCTGACCTCAAGGAGGTGGGTAAAGCTTCAGGAAATTGAATAACTCGGATTTCGTGTCCCACCCCAGTCTCTAGCCCTGTTGAAGTAAAGAATTTTATGGAAGCTCTACACAGGACAGATCCTGAGCCACAGCCCCTCCTCATGGAGTTGAAATACATAATTGAGGACACCCTGACGCGTGGAAGAGTACCCGTGGCTGTACTAATCTCCGGCTCAGGTAAGCAAAATCCTATATGTGAAAACAAGCGGTTTGCAAAGAATTTATGGTTTATATAGAAGGATATTTAAATAAACAAAAAGCTAAAGGAAAGCTTAAATCTACTTCCAAGTGATGTAGCAGTCACTGGAATCCATTTAAAGCTACGTAAAAACCCACATGTTTTAAAACTCTGCCGATGGAAACCTGAAAAGTAAACGGTCTGTGCTTATTTACATAAGTTCATCTTTAAAACTGTATGGTGCTTGGCAAAATATTTAAAATTTGATGCATGAATAAAAATAAAACCATTTATTATGAACGACGTAAAAATGCTGCAAACAGAAAATATGAAAACTGGAAAAAACACTCAAGCTTGCTGATAACATAAAAACGAATATCAAGGAAACCACAAAATGGGACCATGGTAGCATAACACTATGTCACACCTAAAATGAGACTCCAAAGTAAAGCAAAATAAAAATTATCAATTAATTAAAAGCCCGTAATGGCAAAACCTGGTCCAGTCAAAGTTCCTGAGGTACTTGTCCTGATAGGAAAACTTAGAATGTGACGGCAGATAAGAACTAGTCTGCCCAATAGTGTGAAATACTTTCATTAGTCCCTAGCCTTATCTTATAGTTAGGATAGCCTTATGCCTATCCCACGCATGCTTAAACTCCTTTACTGTGTTAACCTCTACCACTTCAGCTTGAAGGCTATTCCATGCATCCACTACCCTCTCAGTAAAGTAATACTTCCTGATATTATTTTTAAACCTTTTGTCTCTCTAATTTAAGACTATGTCCTCTTGTTGTAGTTTTTCTTCTTTTAAATATAGTCTCCTCCTTTACTGTGTTGATACCCTTTATGTATTTAAATGTTTCTATCATATCCCCCCGTCTCGTCTTTCCTCCATACTATACATGTTAAGATCCTTTAACCTTTCCTGGAAATTTTTTTTTTTTTTATTTTTTTTAAATTTATTTATTTTAACCTGCAATCCATGAACTAGTTTAGTAGCCGCTCTCTAAGTATTACCATGCTGAAGGTAAGACATTGGCCAAAGCAAGTAGTTCACACACAAACCTTTAATTCCTAAAGTTCAAGTGTAGCTCTAGAATGAAGTCCATAGCTGCTGCTTTAATTTTGGTAGAGAATAAATCCTCACATTTTGGTAATCTGGTGCTAAAACAGCATGCCTTAAAAAATAAAAATAAAAAAATTTATACGAAAAATTGGAAGTGATGTGAAATCAGTATATTTGCTTTAGTGGGCATGTTTCTAACACCTCTGCATTATCACATACTTATAGGAACACAATACTGTCAACTCTCCTTATTTGCAGCACCATGCAGGTCCACCAGTGCTGGCTCTTCTCTGACCTGCCTCCTTGGCTGACATCAAAATTGATGATCTCAGTCAATCATGCTGTCCCATAGGGAAGGCATTGGATTGGCTGAGATCAATACTTATATCTGCCAAGGAGAGGGTGGAGACAAATGCCACCCTGGCCAATCGGCATCTCTTCATAGATGCATTGAATCCATGCATTCTGAGGAAAGTTTGGTATCTCCATGCCTAGCGTGGAGATGCTGCACACAGTGCAGCACTGCCCCTGGAAGCACCTCTAGTAGGTGTAATTTTGCTTTAATGTAAACACTGCCTTTACCAAAAAAAACACCTGCAGGGCCTGGCTATTCACCAGAACAAAAAGGGTCTATGTCCAGGTGAGATCCACCTCCATTCTTATTTATTCCTTCATGGATTTATAAAATGCATAATTTAACCCTGCATTATTGGTGTATAAAAAAATTTTTTTTCAGGAACAAATCTTGAGGCTTTAATAAGGACCTCAGTGGGCCCCAGTAGTTCTGCATTCATTGCGTTAGTGATCTCTAACAAAGCTGGTGTGGAGGGACTGAACAGGGCACAAAATGCAAGAATTCCTACATTGGTAAGTGACTAGGTGGCTTAGGCTTGTATCATATCCATCTGTACAGTTACAATGTGTATTGTTAACTCATGCCTTGCCATGTTTTAGGTTATTGATCACAAGCAGTATAGCAGCCGTGAGGACTTTGACTCCGCCATTGATAAAGCCCTCCGTGGGAACCGAATTGAGCTGATCTGCCTTGCTGGTTTCATGAGGATTTTATCTGGAATGTTTGTCAACAAGTGGCGTGGTAAATCTTGTATAGACTCATGCTCACACGTTCTCTGCTAATGTAAAAATGTGATTGTAAAGCTCTCCTTTCCTTACAGGGAAAATCCTGAATGTCCATCCGTCCTTGTTACCATCTTTTAGGGGGGCGAACGCACACAAGGAGGTGCTGGCAGCCGGTGTGAGGGTTACTGGTTGTACCGTGCACTTTGTAGTGGTGAGTACATGTGTTTCTGGGTCACCTCTTCATTTGTAGTCCATAAATAGAATTTATCTTAAATGACTGCGTGTCAAAAACGGGTCTGTCTGCTGGCTAATACTTTGTTGGAAACTAGGAAGTGTTTACTTCAGTCTTTAATATTGGGTTTTAAACTCTCCTGGCACTAGTTGTGGTGTGCTGTGAGTGAACAGCTTTTCAAATTCAAAAACACAAACCCCTCCAAACATACAGATTGTTCAACATGATTGCGAGAGATGTGAGACTTCGTTACTGGTTTGTGAAACTTTATTTTAATTCCCCATTGCATGTTTAAGTAGTTTCTATAATGCATAAACTGGGTCATTACATAAAGACACAACGTGTCCCCCTCCAGGGGAAAGAAAAGTGCTGGGTCCCCTCCTAACCTTTGGCGAGGTGCAGTACAGCCCATTGGAAGATTCTGCTACTTTGTTTTTTTTTGTGTACTTGTGCAGGAAGAGGTAGATGCTGGAGCGATTATATGCCAGGAAGCTGTTCCTGTGGAGTTGGATGATTCTGTGGAGACACTGTCTGAAAGGGTTAAAAAGGCAGAACACCGAGCGTACCCCCGGGCTCTGCAGATGGTGACCAGTGGGGAGGCATCACTCGGAGAAGATGGAAAAATAAAGTGGAATATAAAAAAGAACAGTAAGTTGATTGAATATTAAAGTAGTTTTGGTTGAACACTAAAGTCACTTTTGTTTTCGTTTTGTGTCAACAACAAAGGGTTTAATGTGTACCCACTCTGTCCTTAACACTTATGCAAGCTCTGTGTGCTCTTCCTCACTGCACACTGACTTCTATAGCCATCATAGCTTCTCTATACACAATCTGAAGTATTATAAAACACATTAGACCCTGCCACCCACAATTAGGTTATTGCTAATTAATACCAACTTCCTAAAATGGCAGTGTGTGTGACAATCTACAAGCCCATTGTAGGGCAGGGAGTGTAGGGGGACCTCTCATTATATGGGTTTCCATAAAGTTACCAACTTTACTCCATTTCTAAAATTTGGCTGTTTAGTGACGATGGGCAAACTGCTTTAAAGTAAATTTAGGGTGTTGTACATTTTGGGTCAGTGACTATTAAGTTTGTTATAAATTTATTGAGGTTTTATTTTTATTGCAGAATGCTGATTTGCTGTTTCAACCTGTTGCTTTGACCTTCTTTGACTGACTTGAAGATTACGGCACTTTCAATGACATCACCTCAAAGACTTCATGATTGAGAGAGAAATCAAGATTGCTTTTTATAAATTGACATCTGTTTATTACAGTACAAAACAAGATATTCACAACTTGCTCAATGCCTTCTTAGTTCCAACACTGATTTAAGGCTTCCTATTCTCATTCTGTTGTATTTTATTACATTCCTGATAAAGGGTCTAATTTGAAATAATTCCATATTGCCACTCTCTAGGTTACCATTGTTTAGTTAATATCCAGAGGAAGAAACCAATCTGAAAATCGCTGGAAACTGATATCACACATCCAGTCTAACAGAGAAATAGTTACTGTGGGTTAACATTTAGCCCCCTTTAGTATCTAAAGTGATGTTGGCTTTCATAAAGCTTAGTTTGTTTCCCTGTTCAATCGTTCCAGATGCCTTTGACCTGATGTCTTGTTCCATCTAAGTATCCAGTGACCATGGCTTGTGTCGAGTAATAAACTTATCCCTGCCTCTGTTACTGCTGTTTTGGTCTTCTTTATACTTTTTTTTTTTTTTTAGTATGTGAATATAACTGTACAATCACTGTAGTTTGAGGTACAAAAGTGAGACACACCTGAAATACATTTTAAGGTCAGATATGTTGTAATTAATAATATGGGAGCAGTGGGGTTTTTAAAGTTAAAATTTTTATATATACATACACATCCGGCAGTTAAGAGTAACATGCTTTTAAAAGCTAGTTTATGTAAAAACAAAGAACTGAAAATAGTATAAACCCCAATAATACTCCATTCTAAAGAAATTTCACTGCATTGGCCCAATTGTCTGGCTTCGTCAAACCCTACATTTAGTGCAAAATGAGATTGGAACAGGGAATGGCTCAAATCAGTCCTCTTGGACCTGTCTGTATGACTCTAGGTAGGTGTGGACCTGCTCTAAAGGGGAGATCGGCTGTGAAACATGCTTTGTCAGTGTGTTCAGCCTAGCTGAGCATGGGTCTAGTATTGTTAGAGAGAGGGGTCGGCCCAGTGATTTGTTTATGCCGGATTAATCCAGTCACGAGGAGTTGGCGTACGGAATATAGTAGAGTACTAATATTGCTTCCTGCTTAGAAGCCAGAATAGGCTAGATGGGGAGCTCTTAAGGTGGCTAAATAGGTACTGGGAACATCCAACCTGACGAGATTAGTTTATTGTTCTTAACTGTGGGGGAGGAGAGGTGGTTACAAACTATAATGGTACTTCGACTGGCTCCTTGTCAGACAGTGACCTTTGCCATAACGATATACAAATGTATACATTTGTTCGTAAGCAGAAATAATACTGTATCTGGCCTGACAGGCATGCAGTCTCAGTCAGGGAGCCGGGTCTGTTTTTCCAGAGCCATCTTGGAATTCCTTCTGATCGAAATCTTGGGTCCTGATCAAAACAGACAAGCGAGCAGTTGCCTCGTATGTGAACAACCAAGGAGGCACAAAAAGCAGATTGCTCTTGAAGGAACTAGCTCACTTGATGAGTGTCCATGAATGGTCTCCAAGGTCTGAAGGCAATCTATCATTCTGGGCTCAGAGAACGTTACTGGACTTCCTCGGCAGAACAGAAATTCTTCCAGGAGAATGGAGGCTTCACCCGGCAGTCTTATCATGGATTGCCCATCGGTGGGGCATATCCCACATCGAAATGATGGCGACTTAACAGAATTGTCAGGTAGAGACATACTCTGTCCAAACAATTGGGCAATGGGCAAGGAGCCCTTCCTTGGTCATTAAATCTGGGTTATGAGTTCCCTCCCCTACCCATGAAACCCAGATTCCTGCAGAAGGTTTGGATGAAAGGGAAAAAAGTAATTGCTATAATCCCAATCTGAACAGGAACAGCCTTTGCCTCTTCCGATAATGAAGGATCTGCTGACTCTGGGCCCAATCTCTCATTCAGAACACCTTGTTGGGTGTGTGGGTTTTGAAAAGGAAAGACTTTGACAATTAGGCCTTTCGGAAGCAGTGGTCAATACCCTTTTGCCGTCTAGGAAGTGTTCTACTGCCTCGTGCTACCATAGAATCTGAGATATATTCAGAGAATGGGCATCGGCCAAGAACATTGACTTCTTGCAATATTTGGATCCTGAATTTCCTCCAAGAAGGTCTGGACAAAGGCCTTATCCTCAGGACTCTTAGATTGCAGTCCTCTGCTCTTTCAGCATTATGCAATATCTCATGGGCTTTGATCCCAAGATTCCTCAAGGCAACTTGATCTCCTTCCAGATCCAGTACCACTCCTTGGGATCTTCCTCTTCTCAACTACCTGACTGATCTGTTTGTTCCCCTTGAAAATGTGGATACTACCTTTCTGACTTACCAGACTGTGTTTTTGGTGGTTATTACTTGCGCAAGTAGAACTTTGGAGATTAAAGCCTTTCCTATCATGTCTTCCTGCCTACAGGTCTATCAGGATAGGGTGTCAGACCAAAACCTGAATTTCTTCTGAAGGTGGGCTCTCTAGTTTCATCTCTCTCAAGAAGTGGTCCTTCCATCATTCTATCCCAATCAAACTTCTAATGAAGTTAGGTGGCAACGTTTGGATGTTAAAAACTGTCTCTCAATACCCTCTTTTTTTTTTTTTTTTTTTTCGAAGTCCTACAGAAAGACTGACCAACTCTTCTACCTTCAGGAGCTAGGTGCGGTGAGGCAGCTTCTTTATGTTGAAAGGTTGGATTTCGCTAATAATCAGGAAAGCGTATGTTTCTAAAGGTCAGTCTCCTCCAATAAAAAAAAAAACCACCCACTAGAGCATTGTTGACTTCATGGGCTAATTGGGCAAAGGTTCCATACGATGAGATTTGCAGAGCAGCCACCTGGTCTTCCCCAATGACGTTAATAAAACACTACAAACTGGACGTGGTCTCTTCTTCCACCTACTTTGGGAAGAGTGTTCTGTCTACGGTTTCTTTATCTTACTGCTATAAAATTTCTTTGCAGCATGAGTTTCTGTATAGTGGTGTGTTTTTTTTTTCTGTTTTTTTTTTCTGTTTCTCTTTTTCCACCCTATATTTATGTGAGCTTGGGTATTACCCATAAGTGATGCTGCCATGATTAGCCAGGAATAGAGAAAATTTATGACAAACAAAGTAATTTTCTTTTCCTGGTTATTTCTCATGGCAGCATCTGGGTTCCTGCTCATTCTTCTTCAGCTTTATAAATGGACTGTGGTGTAAGGGGAGGAGGGACTCTCAATACCTATCAGTCTAATTCCTATCCTGTGACTGCTAAGGGAGGAGCTACACATAAGTGATGCTGCCATGAGAACTAGCCAGGAAAAGAAAATTACTGTAAGTTTGTCATAAATTTTCTCTAATGTCGAGATATCGGCAGATTACCTGTAACAAGGTTAGGAGCTGACTTAGATGGCGTCTGGTCAGCTTCGGTCACAAGCCCCGTCTTGGTCTTCTGTAAAGCATTATTCCAACAGGTTTTCTTCACTGCAAGTTCTCAAGTCATCTTGCAATATTAATAAACATATCAGCACATAGAGGGTTAAGCTTGCTTTGCAATACTTGGTCCAGGTTCATTTTATTATCCACCTTGAACAAATCTAGTGTAACTGGATTCATACCACATCTGTATCATCACACTAGAGCATTTTGGGAGGGATCACATTAATAAAGTTGGCAGGGAACCCTCTCCCCTCCCCCCCACCTCCACCCCCCAAAAAAACAATTGAAAGAGCATGTGTGGAGGACTGAGTACTCTTATGACTGAGGAAACATCTACTAAACGTATGCAAGCGTGCTGTCTGCAATGGTAGAAGTGGACTATGTCATCAGAGCTTGGTGTGTGGGGACAAGACTTAACTTTTCTTAGCACTAACGTTCAGAAGGCCAGGCTGCCTAAAGCACGTGTTGCAGTGCAGATTACTCTGCATTCTAAAACTCTGCATGTACAGATTGCTTGCTCTAAAAGCAGTAGTAGTCCTGGTGCAGGTTGGAGTATCCGTTTAAGTCATTGCACCGGTTATGTGTATCCAAAACAGGATATTTTTATGAACCAAAGGGATATTTCAATAGATCTATGCATTCATTGAACTTTTGCTAATCTATTCTGTCCAATATAGGACCTCCTTATTAAAACCGTCAAACAAATTGAAAGGGTTCTATGCTGGCCATATAGACTTTAAGTAAGGGTGTGATGAATTCAAGTCTACTCTCAAAGCACCATTATCCCTACAAATTATACCACTGCCAGTTTGGGAGATGAACGGGTTTTGTTCGTATGAGCTCTCTCAAATGGGGAACAGGCAAAATACACGTAATGCATACAAATACATGGGGAAACACAGAGAGAACACACAAATAAGCAGTGGGCATGGTACTTCGTATTGGTGGTCCGCCACTCATCTTCCCCTTGTCCAACTCCGGCAACCGCAGCATGACTCACGCGTTAACTCGCTGCTTCCAGGAGGGGACACATAATCTTTTAGTGCCATGCCCCCAAAGTCTTAGGGTCTGGCCTGCGTTGCACTCTTTTGGGTACAGGGTGACTTAGACATAAAGAGTCTTTAAAGACACAAAAGATGGAATAGCGCTAAGTTGGGGGTGGGGAAGGCAGCACACCTAAACGGTTAAGTCTCTCCTAAAAACCCAAATGAACAAACAATATTACAAAGCAATAGGGTGCTCTGGGGGTTAGGGATCAAGGTGATACTCAATAAGACAAGTGATAAACAGATAATACACTTTCAGTAAGATAATATAAAATCTTAAAAAAGTATAAAAGACAAGCAAAAAGTCCAGGATGAGATATGAAAGTGTAGAAAAGTCTATAAAAGTTTGCCTTTATCTTCAGGTAAATATGTCTTCCAGATCATCGAAGTCCAGGGACATAAAAGAGAAGAAAGAGTACCAATAGTGCAATATGTATAAAATATAACAAAAACTTCAATAAGAGGAAATCCAAAATGGCCTACTCACATGCGGTAGAGCTAAAACCAGCTCTAGTGTAAAGCACTCGCAGTGGATTTAGTCCCCCACTTCAGGGATATGGTGGAAGGTATTGGCCGGTGCGTATCTTGTCGGCAGGTAACGTGAAAATAAAAGCAAGGTGTGCCAGACTAGTGCTCTCTGTATAAAATGAGAGAACCAGGAGTAAAAAATAAATGAATAATACTCACATTTAATTGAGCAGATATCCCGCTCAGTAGAATCAGCATGGGTGGTATAATCCCCACCAAGGATACTTTGTGAGGTCCTCACTGGAATGATAAACTGGATGCCAGGTAAAAAAAAAAAGGAAGCAAAAAGGTATATGGTACTAAAAGTGGTAGTAAAAGTTACCAACCTTTATTAGAACAATAGCAATGATAAAATTAGTCCACAACGTGTTTCACACACACCAGGCTTTTCAAGTGGTAATCAAGCACATACCTGGCAAGTACAGTCTTATATAGGATAAAATACAAGGAAAATTCAAATTTGGCGGTAAAAAGAGTCTTTAGCCTGGAAAGCCATCCATCCTAGGCTCCGGTACACAGGGGTCTCTGAGCCCATAAAAACCCCCACCCAAATAAAGCTGCCCCTAACAACCCCCATCCATTCCATCACGTGGTTCTCTTGGTTTTCCCTGACTGGCCAAGGATGATAGGGGTCCTTTGCGGAGTCGGTTGCGGCTCTGCTTCCGGGGAATCACTGGGGTCGTGGCTGGCCCCTGGATCGTAATCAGCTGCTGGGGAGTGGGACCCTGCTCGGAGGCCTGCGCCTCTGTTCTTACTTGCCTCGGGGGTCCTGCAGAGCTTGCAGGGCCCGGCTTAGACACCAAGGGTGGGCAGATATGGGGAAACACAGAGGGACCACACAATACACAGGAAAAACACACAAATAAGCAGTGGGCATGGTATTAAGTGGCGTGGTCCACCACACACATAAGCTCCTGGAGCTTATTATAATATGATGAATTGTCCTAAGCATATTTAAACCTACCTCCTCTGTGCCTTGTTGCCCTATTGTGGTCTTTTGATAGCCCAATAGCGCGTTTAGTCTGTCTGATTATTGGTTACCAAATTTTGGCTTGTCTCACCATTTATCCTGCTTTCTCTAATCCTTGACCTTGGCTTGTCTAATCATCATTCCGTTTCTCTGTTCTTCTCTGACTTTGGCTTGTACTCTGATTCCTCTCTGTTTCCACAGCCCAGCCACTCTAAGGTCCGGTACTGCAATTCCTTTGTCTGTGTCTCACAACTTCTAGTGTGGTCCAGCACGCAGAACTATGTAACATCTACTTAGACAGAACGGAAAAATACAGAACGGAAACCGGTCCTTAGAATGGCCGGACTAATACGTTAAAGACAGAGAATGGCCAAGGAATAGCCAAGATCAAGGAAGCTAGAAATACACAATACCGTTAAACAAGCCAAGTCAGGAGAACCAGAAATCAGAGTAGTCAGGAATAGCCAAGGTCAATATACCGGGAATATCAAAAACAGGACAAGAAAACGCACTCTCGAAAACCAGGACAGGAAACCACGACTGGGCAATGAACTGGGAAGCTTTAGGGATTTAATATCCCTCCTTTGACTGTAATTGGTCAGAGGGTGACCTCTGACCCCAGAACGTACATGTGCGTCGGTGTCGTACATCACACGCACGTTCGTGTGACCCTGGGGGCGGAGCCATCGATGGCCGCGGTCGGCACCATCTTTATTTTGGGCAGGCGGTGAGAAGAACCCGGTGGAGCGGCTCCCAGACTCGCCGTTGGGCAGGTAAGCTCGATCTGTCGACGCAGTCGTGCCGGTCTGGCACGTCCGCACCA